ATACTTTATTAGTTTCTGTAATCAAACCCACGTAGATAGGACCTTACATATTTAGTACGATGTGTCACCCCTGTACACATGGAAAAAAAATAAAAAATAAAAAATAAAATAAATTAACATTTCTAGACCAATGTGGTTGTCCATTTCTGTGCAATGTACAACTCAACACAGTAAGTTGGGATGACTTTTTCCAAAGTTGGCAGCACCAATAGTAAGTACAGGGCTAAAGGTGTAAGGAAAGTGGGAAGGGTGGGGGAAAGGTAATAAGGGAGAGGAAAAAAATATGAGAAACTGAAAAAATGGAAATAAAGTGTTTGTAAATGGGGAGGGGAGGAGGGGGTGAAGGGAGGGCAGGGACAAGGGGAAAAATGAGAATCAAGACCTATTATGTAAAGGTACAGAATCCCAATGATGAATGTAACTGTATTGTATACCTAGATTGTAATAACCTCAATAAAAAGAAAAAAAGAAGAAGAAGGGGAGCCTGTAGAGTGTTAATCTCTTTCGCTTGTTTCCTCATAAGTGAATAGTCAAGAAAGTGGAGTATATTTCATAGTGTCTTTATACCACAATGACCCTCAGTTTCACCTCAATCAGCACTGAACATTTTCCCTGTGCACCACAGTCTGTGTTTATTTTCATGCTTCCTTGTTGATAAATGAACCCGGCTAGTAGAATGTGGCTACCTGTTTTTTCTGAGCCCATTGCTCTGCCGACCCTTCTGGCCAAAGTAAAGACAGTCAGATTTTGAGGTGAGGGGAGGATTTAAGGCTTCAATTTTCCCCCGTCCCCCCCCAAAAAAAAACTCCCTGCAAATGAATAAGCATGCTATTTTCCAAATGTGGTAGTCTCCCTAAACCTGTGTACTTGAAATTTGGTTCAGGATCTGGCCTTGCCTTCTAACACATACTGCAATAAGGAAGGAAGTACAGTCTACCCACACCACACCATAGCACATGAAACTTATGAGAATGCAAGGCGCCAGGGTGAAAGGGGGAGAAAGAGAAAACAAAGAAATCATGGGGCTGTTTCCAGCACCAATAGACCCATCAAATGGGAAGCATTAATTTGTACTTCCTCAATCAATTTGGCTTCAGTTCGCTGGTAAGTTTCAAAACATAAGTATCTTGCTGCTCTGAATACAATTCTAGAATGTATTGTTATGCAGTGTGATCCTTAAAAACATAGTCCAACTACTTCCCTGTAAACACATATGTAATATTTACAAGGTTGTTAATGATTTTTCCTGACCACTAACAATTTTTCATTGATTTTATAGTCTCTGAGATTAGAACTTAGCTGGGAGGAAAGACATAATTAGATAAATAGAAGTACATGGTGCTACAGATAGAATCACATCTTGAAATCGGTCTTACCAAAGTATTTTTAAAATTTCAGTTGTGGAAGTAGTTTTAGTGGTCACCTAAATCCAGAACAGAGTCTGTATTTGTCAGGTTAGGCTCTGTTGCGCTTCAGTAATATATAAGTCCGAAATCTTAATGGCTCTAAAGCTTCCAATGTTTGTTTCGACTCATGCTACTGGGAGATCACCTGAGGTTCTGCCTGTCACTCTTCACTAGGGCTGAGGCTGACCACACACTGACAGCTGTTTCTGGTAAAGGGTAAAGGGATACAGCAAACCACATCATCTTTATTAAACCTTCTGCCTGCCTCAGCTGCCACTTCTGCTTCTATCTCATTGGTTAGAGCAAGTCATATGATCATTCCTGAGTTCAACAGACACTGGAGTTAAAGGGGAACTAAATACTTAGCAATCTTCCAAAAATCTCATCTTTAATCTTTACCCAAAAGTTCATAGACTGAGAGGTTTCAGTCCACTGTCAGCTGACTCCGAGGCTGACATAAGGACAGAAGGGTATGGCGGGACAAAGCTGCAGCCCTTATACAGCGGGGCAGAGGGAGCGGGAGAGACAGACCGACAGACAGACGGAATATGCTGGTGAGCTTCTGCCTTCTTCCACTTTTACCCCATCTTGGGCTCCAACCTACCCACACTTAGGCCCAGCCTCCCTTCTCAGTTTGGAGTGGCACATAGTGGCCGGAAACACCTCACAGACACAAGCAAAAATGTGTTTTACTAATTCCCCAGCTCTTTCTCAATCCAGTCAAACTGACAGTCAAGATTTAACCACCACAGTCCTCATTTTGTGGGGTTTTTTATATTGAGAATACATCTTGTTATTTTCTCCTCAAGTATTAGAAATACCTAAACTCTTCAATTATTTCTCATGTAGGAGGACATTGGATCTTTTCTCAATACTTTTTGTTCTTCCAAACCCCGATTGGTCATAAATTTCCCTAACATTCTCTCTACCTCATAGAACTTTCTACACATTTGGCTCCTAGCAATGTGTTTTTACCATCAAATTTACCCCACTCAGATCCATTGTCTGTGACCGTGCTCTCCCCGCATCCAGCAAACAAGATGCAGTGGAAGATACACGGTTATGGCACCCTAGGTGTCTGTGTTCCATGGCACTGTTTGTACCTCATTAGTAAACATTTTCTTTAAATTATCTTGGATACTCATTAAATATTATCAGCTACTTAGAACCAAAGGATAATTATGAGTTTAATGAAGCGTGCACCAGCTTGCTCAAGTCTAACGTTTGTTTCTCTGCTGGGACCCCATTTTACTTTGCACTTATCCTTCAGCAAAGCTACTCTACAAAGTCACTTTGGCAATAAGAAGTATTTAATTAGATTAATGAATTTTTATCGCCTCTCCTAGGGATTAGGCTTGTTAAATCCTGGCGACCAAAGAACAACAGATTTTTTATTACTAAATGTTTGGGGATGGGCTGGCTGTGCAGCAGTGGCGGTCCTCATAAGTCAACCTGCTCTGGGCAGTTCTACCTTGGATCCCTTGGTAGGCCAGGGATATTTGGCAGAGACAACCTGTGCCTTCAGTTAAATCACAGAAATCAAAATGCAAATGAAATCATGTGCATCCCAGACAGGGCTTTCGGCAGCTGTCTTGCTGTCAAAGGCTGCTGCCTTACTGTGCCCTGAGAAAATGTGTCCTCTCTTCCTCTATTTGCAGGTGCTTTGGAAGAAAGGGAAAAGCCTACAGTCAGTGCTTCTAGCTCTTCGTGATAGCATGGGTATCCACTGACATTTTCCTAAGTCACTGGTGTGGCGATTAATAATAAAGCACACAGGGTGAGGCGTTTTTCAGCCGAGTTGTGCTATTCATTTAAAGATGTTAAGCGATGATACATATGTAAAACAATTTGGTATCTTTCATAGCTAATGCTTTGAATTATGGCAATATCTTTCATCTAGCAACTTCAAAGTCCATTTGAAAACTCAGCCACATCTCTCCCCACGTGCCTATGAGGCAGTTTTCAAGCATGGATGTCCCCCACTTAATAAACTGAACAACTAAGGCACAAAAGCACAGAGTTAGCCAAAGTTGTGAAATAAACCGGTAGCACAACAAAAGAATGGTCTTATGGTGACAAGGTTGACGCATTCTTTTGGCAGTGTACAAATTCACATGTAATCATGGCATTATCTCTCACAATTTTAGGATGATGCCCCAGGAAAACAGAAGTGGGAATGGGGCCTCAAGGGAGTCCATAGACTTCCTGGGGTGATAAATTTTTTATCAGAGCAGAGGGGAAAAACAGAGCTGGATGTGTTGAAAGGAGGCGGGGTGCAACGCAGAGGGAAATACAAGCTAAAATATTAACAAGGAAGATGTCTTTAAATTTAGCAATTTGTAAACATTTAGGTCTGATTATACAACATCTAAGACGACCGTATAATATATCACTCAAACTGGGACACTTTCGAGAGAAAGAGTATACCATTAACAGTTTACACTCATCATACCTTTCTCATTGCCTTTCGTTAAGCTACTGAGCAATGTGTTAGCCTTTTGAGCAAGTGTTCTCATTTAAACATTGCCTAAATGTTACGGAAACCTCACATTTTGATGAAGGAACTAGGAAAGAAGTTTTAAAAAAAAAAGTTGACTATGAAGACCAAGTTTCCATAACTGCAAAAAAGTGGAAACCAAGTTTACAAGCTGTTTACTTAGCAAATATCGGGCCACTTTTCTAACCCTACAGGTGTAAGAAACAGTGAATAGATTGTACAGGGCTATTTGATAAGCTAATTTTCCCTTCTTTCAATTTTTTAAAATAATGCTCTCTGGAGCTCACGTGAGCAAATCTGACTAAAGGAGGTGCCATTGCACTGTGCAGTTACCTGTAAACACCGACATCTGTCACATGCCAATGCTGTCAATGTTTATGTCCTCACTGAGAGAGTTGGACAGGATAACCATAAAGAAAGAGGAACCTCTCTTCCCCCTCACCTGGGTGAGGTAACCAATGAAAACAGTAGCATGAAGAAGCTCTTCTCGAAGGCTCTGCTTAAGGATCCAGAATAAAAACCTGTACACTGCTTCCACCCCAATCTTGTTCTCCAGAACTTACTGAGCTGACGGAAATGTTCTGTACCTGCATAGTTCTGTACAGTAGCCACTTTCCATGTGGGCCCATGGAGCACTGAAATAAATTTAGAGTGAACAGAGAACTGAGTGTTCAATTTTACTTCTTTTTAATGAATTTAGATTTAAAATTATGTGCCGCTGCTGGCTGCCATAAGGACAATACAAATCTAGACCCTTGAGTTCATATATATATCATAACACAGATTTCTTGAAATCAGGAGATGCTTTGCTTTTTCAGGTTTTTAACACTTAAAAACAGTTTTATGTATTGGAAATCATCTTTAACTAGAGAAGGGGTCCAAGCCTTAGTTAAGCCTGCCAAGTGCCAGAATACAAAGTTTTCTGTGCTTGATGATGATGTCCACCTTCCAAGTAGCAATTTAGCAGTGGAGGTTCAGGGCCCACATCACAGCTTTAAAGGACAGACTCCCTGGAGAGGAAATAAAACAGTGCACGCCTACCCAGGTAATAGAAACAGATGTAAATCTACCATAGCACAAAATGCACATAAGAGAGACTAAATGCTATCTTTCATTTCTTCTATCAGTAGATAAGATGCAGTTTGAAGTACCTGAGTGATTGCCTTTGTGCTAATATCATTTAACACTATGCTTGAGTGGCAGGTCTGATTCATCAGGGTAGCAAGATCTGGCTTGGTTTGGGTAGTTCTTCGTCCAGTGGTAGACAGCTAAAAGACTACAGATTGAAAGCGCTTTTTCATGCCTTTTGTAAACAATTCTGATGTCAGGCTACCCCCTGCTGGAAAGAGAAGGAAGAAGAAAAAAAAAAGGCACTGTTAAAAAGGACCACTGCATATTTCCTATGTGGATGTTCTGTTTTGTTCATGATTCAGGAACCTACCACTATGGGCAAATTGGATAAAATCATAAGTAAAATCCTTGATCATATCCTTCTGTTTCTTCTAGATCTTGATGAGTGTGACACTGAGAAATGGCCCACCATGGGGAGCCTGGAGTAGATGCTGAGCCTTTTTACGGTAGGCTCATCACTAGGCTAAATGGGTTTTAAAAAGGAATAGCATGTTTTCTGAAAAATATAAGCCAGATAAACCCCAGAGGAGTTTAAATTAGTGCACTTCACAAATGCATACCCACAAATCAATTCAACTCATGGCTATCAGTTGCTTAACCACCTGATAAAATGTCCTTCAGTTGCTAAACCATGCTACAGATACAGCTATTGGAACTATTTGGCCCTCACCCATATTTGCAGCACCAAAACATCTGTTTTGCTATGAAGGCAAAGCAAAAATCAACTTTGCTTTGCTCTAACAGTGAGTCTTAAAGTGTAAAGTAAAACCAACAAAATTTCAGCATATTTCTGACTCAGAGTATCATGATGTAAACCAGTTCCAATGAGAATTGAGAAATAAGCATTTATTTCAGTATTTAACTTATTTAACTCTTTAACCTTAACTATTCGACTTTTTTTAAGAATTGAGGAATTTTCTATATCTATTCTCCACACTTCCAAGGCAGAATAAAACGCAGAATGAAATATAAACTCAACCAAGTTAAAAAGAATTTATTTTCTTACATCCTTATCAAAGAGAAGTCATAACAAGTATTTAATCAGAATAACCAAATAGCATGTAAGCAGCTATGATGTGCTAGATGCTATTTCGCTTCATGGAAATGGACCTTGCACGTGGTCTTGAAGTTTTAAGCCAGACAGTGCTGACAATAGGCTGCACTCAGAGAAACAGTAATGATCTCTTCAAACACATTAACAGAGGCTTTCATTTGTTAAAAATGAGCTATCTGAAGGGAGAGGCATGTGGAAGAAACCTTAGTGAACCAAATTTAAAGCAAATTTAGTTTCTGGAAAAAAATGATACATTGCTAAAATAATCACATATCCAGTTATTAAATCTGCTGCAGGGTCTGAACCGAACCCACTCAAAATCAAGTAATATCACTTGCAAAACTGTCTATCTGCTAATGGGCAACTGTCTGCAATGACTAAGTCTGGCAGCTGGGCATAAAGAGGTATTCCATTCTGGGACAAGGTAATTTACCCTATCATAGGGCCTTAGATTCTCAGAAGGAAAAATGAGAGGAAGAGGAGAAGCTATAGATTATAGCAGTAAGACAAATAAGACAAATGAGTAGCCCAATGCTAAGTGTGAAAGTCATTGCCTCCTTAAAGCATAGAAAAGTCACTATGAGTAAACTGTCAGTCCATCCCACCATGAAACCAGTACCTTCGGGAATTTCACAAGTCTCCAACTTGTCCTTGCCTCTTCTCCTGTTCAGAACTTCTTGGATGGACACTAGTCTCCACCCTCAGGGCTGCAGCATATGGGCAGGTATGTGTACACATGTGTCTGTTTTGAACGCTTTTGTCTCCTTAGAGGTCTGAGAGAGTCACAGAAGAGATTCTGAAATCACAAGTCCTAGGACTTCGCATACATGGGAGATTATTTGGGGACATGATCATTCTGTCACTTGGTTAAAAGAAAGGTATAGCAAGTGGAGGGAGGCACATAGAGAAATCAGCCTCTCCTGCATTTAGAAACAGGCTCCATCAATGCAAGCACAGTAATATTTGGGGAGAAATGTTTTATTTTCATCTTTATCTCCCACTGTATGAAGTGAAAACAGGAATGCTTATTTTTCTGACACAGGGGTTTTGCTAATGCTTGAAAAAAAGGTCTCGATGGTAAGATGTGATAGGCATTCCTGGAGGGAAGTTCTGCAGGGACAGACAAGCCTGAGCCAAGCTGGATCTGGCTCCCCTAGTACGGATGGAGCCCTTGGAGGTTCCTCCTAGACCCTCCTAAAGCATTGCATTTAACCCCATCTCTTTCTCTCTTCTTCACAGGCATTTGAGCAAATGTTGATAGCCACTAGGCAGAGGATCACAGTTCTCCTCTCAAGGGCCACTTCACAGCTTTATCGTCAGGCTTCTAAAATCCTAGTGAGATGAAAAGATAATGGCAGTGGTGTAACTTACTTCCCAGGACAAAGTTTCCACTGCTGAAGACCTTACATCTCTTCAAACACATTAGCAAAGCCTTTTGTTTGTTAAAAATGAGCCATCCAAAGGGAGAGGCATGTGGAAGAAAAAAATCTCTTTACAATTTCTCCACCTCCTCAAAATTTGGGAGTGATAATAAAAAGAGATCAATTAATAAGTTATTTTGAAAGAAATTCTTAGGATATACTTAAATCCATGAAATGAATAAGTCACATCTGACCAATCTAATATCTTGCCCCCTTTCATGATCAGTGTAGATCAATCTCATTTTAGCTAGATTATTTAATTGTCCACCCCCCCAGTGGTTTCCAATTAGGCTCATATGAACCACAGTTCAATTAATTTATTCCATAATAAACTACCTACCTCATGACAACTAACACTTATTACATATTTAGTATGGGCCAGACACCATGCTGACACTTTACATACATTACCACATCCAGTCTTCAGGACAGCCTTGTAAAAAGATTCAGAATTACTGGTTTATAAACAGAGAAATAAAGAACTTAGCCAAAGTGACCTAGTAAAGAGGGCAGAGCTGCTGAGTGATCCCCAGTGAACTCCAGATACTGACCTCCTAAATACTGGCATACTCCATGTAAAACATGGAATGCAGCCATCGATTCATATACACACTTATAGTGCATATATGATCAATAATCACAAATGCATATGTATAGAGGTACTCAGACTCAGAGCTATGGTACTTAAGAAATGCAGGCATACCTCACTAAAACTGTAAAAGGAGCAGACAGTTGATCTATGCATGAAGATTGCCTTAGCAGCTGATGTAAATCCGGTCCATTTGGCTTCACTGACCTATCTCTGGAATAATACAAATTTAAGAAGCTGAATATCCTTGGTACAATCTTAGCACTACTTGTCTGCATAATCTATAATACTATGTACGTTAACAAAAGGGTCTTAAGTCCTCTCGCCAGTCTTTGACAAACCTCGTCCTTGAAGTTTGATTTAGTATTGCTGGTGTCTGATTTAATACCAAAAACCATTCCAACCCAATAAATCTCTCTACAGAACAAGACTAAGAAAAAGAGACAGGTGTGAGTGTGTTTTCATGCTCTGCTACTGCAGGTATAAGTTTAATCAGACATAAAGTTCTCACTCCATTTGCTGAAATGCACTATGTCAATGAGGCCATCTTTTTCTCTGTGACAAGGATGATGTTAATTTCTCATGAGTCACGTGTGAAGTGACCAGGGAAGAAATACAATCAATCCATCCAGAAACTGGATCTGCAAAGTTACCTGGTAATGGAATGGAAATACCATAGAATCTGCTTAGAGCTAAGGTCTTGACAACATCTATTCTGCTTGGCACTGAGCAGAATTTTTTACAAGAGAGGAAAGGAGAGAAGGATAAACTGGAAATCAAATTTTGAGAAATAAGGATTAAAGGTTCCATTATTCGTGCTGTTTTCACTGTATATATTGAGTTAACAACATGTGATTTTACTGGATGAAAATGTGGGCCCCATGCAAGGAGAGTGTGGTGCAGATAAATCCCCACAGCGACAGTAATGAGTGAGGGTTAGTGCTTTGTCGGCGTGAGGCTGTAAACAGTCCTGGGTTTTGAGCTGGTATAATAAGTGGAGATTGTTCCTGGACTTACTGGGGAGCACAGATAGTTTCTGCCACAGGAAAAGCAACCCCCCTTGAGGCAGAGAGGCACAGCCCTGCTACCTTCCTGCTTATCCTGTTGTAATGTGTGAATTGTGGGCCCCAAAGTGCAAACTCCTGGCAGGGGGTAGGGCTGCAAGCTCCTCAGAGTTGGCTGCCTGGCTTCTTTTATTTATTTATTTATTTATCCTTTCTACGCACTGTTTTGTCAATACTGGAGAGGTAGGTGTTTCTCTTCCTTACTCAACCCCTTCCCATCCCTAGGGTTAGGGCTCAGGAGAAGAAAAGCCATTTAACAAGTTAAGTAAAGAAAACCCTGAGAAGCTCAAGTGTAGATCAATCCAGTGTGACCAGCCAAGAAGGAGAAAAACAGGTGAAAAAAAAGAAACTGATTTCTGAGCTCTATAATGAGTCCCAATCTATGTCACCTGTACCAAGCCCTATGGTCTGATGGCTAAAGACAGGTCGTATACAAGGTGAGGGTGATAACAGCTCATCTAAATTTCATAATGTGCTATCATGCTAAGAAAAATGGTGACTTAACCTCAATACTACACAGTGTCTGAGATTAAGGAGAAAAGGAAAGGAACTTTATACTTTCAGAGCTGATGCTGGATATAAACTACATACATTCTACACCTAATTACCTTATGACTGCCTAATATTCACCATTGAAAAGTGTGCATATCAGCATAGGTTGCAGATTGGATCAGTCAACAATTATCAATAGATGTTAAATCTAGGGAAAATTTAATGCGGGGCATAATATCCAAGTGGTTTTAAAGTGCCTTTTCAAGACTACTTATTAATTGCAGGGAAACATTATTATACAATGTTAAGCTCAGGCAACATCCTGACCAGATGATCAAAATTAACATCATCCAAGAGGGGAGATGCCCATCATCATTTTTTGCCTCAGGTCCTGCCACAGGATCAGCTAAGGAACATGCTGGAAAAACAGGCATTCAAGTTAGCCAGAAACTGACCGTGAAAGTGCACCTGACAAGAGGAAGAATCCTCTATTAGGAAAAATATAAAGACCTGCGTTCTTCAAAAATGCCACTGTCAGAAAAGAATAAACCTACAAAAATTATTTACATTAAAGGAGGCTAAAGACATGACAACTCATTGCAATATGTGAGTCAGACTAGATCCTGTATTTCAAGGGGAAAATCCATACAGGCCACTACTGGGATAATTAACAAAATTTCAACTTGGATCCTACCCTAGACAAAAAGTATTCAATTGTCAAATTTCCCAAAGCTAAAGCTGTACTTGGATTATGTAAGAAAATATAATTTGCTCAGAAATATTTAGGGCTAAAATATCATACTACATATAAATTACCCTTAAATGGTTCAGAAAATAGTATGAGTACATATGCATATATACAACATTATAGAACTATAGATATATGTACATATGGAGAGAGATTACAAAGAAAGTAAATGAGGTGGAATGCTAACAACGGGCAAATATGGTGCAGATTTAGGATGCTCTTTGTATTATTCTACTTCTTGCAAGTATTCTGTAAATCTGAAATATTTTCAAATAAGAAGTTTCTTTAAAGAATTTTAAGTCTTCAGATTGATACTACATCTTCCTCACTTCATGTGAATAGAGGACATGATACGATATGCACTGCCACATTTTACCCAGTTATTCTGAGTGTATCAGTTATACGACAGCCAAGACATCCTGTACTCAAAACTCTCCTCTGTCTCTCACAACAAAGTGGTTGTACATGGCAGTCAGGCCCTATATTGACAAGGCTCATGTATAAAAGGAAAACAATAGAACAAAAATTGCCTTCTACTTCTCAGAGCCACGTACTCTTCAACATTGGAATTAAAAGCAGATTTTACATTTGGAAATTTCCAATTATGATCCTACATGCCATACTCTAATATTCCAACCCAAAGATAAACTATCTAGATAGATGGAGTTCTCAAGTAATTCAATGTAAGACAATGTAACTCGAAAAAATACATGCAATACCTTGGTTCATGAATGCTTCTGTTCACAAACAATTCGTTCCCAAACAGAAGTGTCTGGCAAAGTTTTGCTTCCATTAGCCAACTCTGCATCTGGTGACAAACACCACCAAGGCCATCTTCCCCAGAATCGTGGGATGACTTATGCATGTGAAATGAGGGACCACTGTATTGTAAGCTCTATTAATTTATCTCCATTGATATCCCACAAATATCCAAGCTGTTGGTCACTTCATTTCAACTCTGTTATGAGGCCTGAATGGCAGTCTTTCAATTCTATTTAACCTCTTTCTGATTCTGTGGTTTGATGAAAACATTGCAGCTTCCTCCAGGGGGAATTGTCCCAGGAAGTACTCTCTCCTCACCAACATGGTAGCTTTTGTTTTCCAGCTATATATCAGTTGTTTAGAATGGGGAACCAGGTTAACCTGCTGCACATACCTGTGTTCAGGGGCAACTGGAGCGATGAAAGGAAGAGCAGAATACAAAGATTCGCTGTAGGGGATGCAGCTGAGGTCCTGGATTGAAGTCCTCCTCCTTGGTGGGTCTGTCCACCCAGACCTGTGAGAGTTGGTTCTGCATTTCTCCTAATGGTTCAGCCACTTTCCACTCAGCCTATCAGCCACCCAACTGTCACTTTTCAGTAAGAAAATGTCTAACACTCAAAATCAGTTCTCCTCTCTGGACTTCTCTTCTTTTCAAGATCTTGGTAATCTCTAATCCTTGCTGCTGCAATAGCTTTTCAGTGCCCTCACACAAATGGTTTAATATTTGTCCATTATTTTCACCATGTAGCCAGGCCATAATTAAATAGTCTACCATTGCTTGATGTGTCAATATTATTATTAAGCAGACAAAGGAAGATGGAAAACTTGACCAACGAGAAACTTGAATCAAGTGTAGACACTTATAAAGACAATTAAAAATGAGAAAGATATAGCGTTTATCAAGATGGAAGCAACTTATAGAAAGAACTGGATAAATGTAGACTACAAGGTATGATAATATGATTAAGTAAAAAAAATCTTAAATCTATTACAGTAAAAGAAATGTTGCCATTAATCACCATCTTAATTACTTTCTTGTTACTAAGAAACAACACCTACTACCCTCAATTTAAAGAAAGAAAGTTTTATTTTGGCTCACGGTTTGTAGAGGTTTCAGTCCATAGTCAGCTGGCTCCAAGGCAGGGAATCATGGCAGAGGAGAAACTGTTCTTGACTTAGCAAGCAGGAAGCAAATTACCTCAGGAGAAGGAAAAGAAACACACACCCTTCCAGGCCATACCTGCAGTGACCTACCTCTTCTCACCAGGCGTCACCTCGCAACAACACAACCAACCATAAACCCTTCGATGGACTAATTTAGTATCACACACCATGATCCAGTCACCTCCAAAAGCCCCACCCATGGGCACATGCAACTTTGGGGGAACACCTAGATATAAACCATATGATCCCCTCAAAACATTGCCCCTCACAAACTCGTTTTGATCCCAGTGCAGCTATAGTCAGAGGCAGAGCCTAGAGAGGTGATGGGATCATAAGGATGCCAACCTATAGCTGTGGGGAGTAGGTCACTGGGGACATGTCTTTGCAGGGTGTATCTCTTCTTGGGCTCTTTCCTCGCACTCCGCTTCCTGGCTTCCCTGAGGTGAGCAGTTTTCCTCTGCCATGACCTTCTGCCATGATGCTTCTGCCTTGAAGCCAATTGACTTTAGACTGACACCTCTGAGATTATCGGAGAAAATAACCTTTCTCTATTTTAAGTTGTATACATCAGGTATTTTGTCCCAGCAATGAAAAAATGACTATTACAGGGGCTTCGCTGAGAGAAGGCAGCTTTTTAAACTGTACAACGTGAATAATAGCGAGAGATACTTCCTATCGTGGGGGCTATGAGATAACATTTATTGAACATTCACTCCGTACCAGGTACCATGGAAGCACTTCACATTTATTCCTTATTATATCATTAAAATAGCCACCATTATTACCTCCGTTTTACAGATGAAGAAATTGAGGAAGTAATTTGCTCAAAGTCACAAAATGACTAAGTGCCTCAGCTACGACACAAAGCTTAGGATAGGCAGCGTGAGTATAACACAGCTTTACACACACGCACAGCACCCTGTAAAGACACTGTGCATCTGGGAAGAGGCTTGGAATCGAAGCAGCAGGGATGATTGGCTCATTTTTCTTTGTTATTTTAGTTTATTGGTCCACATGTCTGGTACATATTGTTGACATTCCTTGGGTGGAGTTGGTGTATGTATGTGACACATCTTAATTCCTTTTTCCACCTCCTTCCCTCCCCTTTCTCCTCCCTCTACCCATTCCTCAATCTCCTTCCTGTTTTTTTCTTTTTGTACATATTTGCCATATACAATGTTTATGTTCCTCGTATGGAGTTAGGACATATACATAATGCACCCCAATTCCTTTTTTGTCTCTTGCAGCTCACTTCTGATGAAGGTGAAACTGCATATATTTTGGAATCTGTCAGCTACCCTTCCCTGTTTCCAGCATTTTGTTACAGCTTCTACCTGCTACAAGTTCCCAGCCCATGGCCATTGCCAGTCTCTTCCACCTACCCTAAGTAAGGAAAGACCTGAATGTGGCTCCTCCTTATACTGATGCTGGGACTGGTCTTGCACACCCTGTATCTAACTTGGTCATCACAACCTCCCCCTGAGGTCAATATTTTATTATACCTATTTGATCATCAAGGAATCAAGGGCCCAAACAATTCAGCAGCTTGCTTTTGTCTGCCTCCAAGGGCCTAAATTTTTTTCACTGACCTGTGTGATTCCATTCTTGATCTGAAAGAGAAATACTGTAGGTCAGAGTCCACCAAGAAGCTCTTCTGGAATATTCTAAAATCAGTATCTCAAAAAACAAGAGGTAGTGTACTTAACTAGAAATAAACCCCTAAAGGAGAAACCTCTTTAAGAACTTCTTTCTAGATGACAATCTTTTTTAAAAATGATGAATAAAGTGTTTGTAGATGGGAAGGGGAGGAGGGGGTGAAGGGAGGGCAGGGGTAAGGAAAAAAAAAATGAGAATCAAGACTTGTCATGTAGAGGTACAAGATCCCAACAATGAATGTAACTGTACTGTATCCCTAAAATGTACCAATAAACTCAATTAAAGCTGAAAAAAATGATGAATGCTCCCAACTTTTAAAAAATTTTAACCTAAAAGTCATGTAATAAACTTTATTTGTATTCCTATGAACAATGGGAAAACCAAACATTGGTGTAAGACATGATACAGCACACTGGATAAAAGAATGCAAACTCTGACGAGTGCGCCATCTGATTTCCCCTGTGTACAGGGCAGGAGGGCTTCTTCTCTCCCATTTCCTAGAGCAGTGCAGAGAAAGAGGTATCCACACCATGTGTGAGGGCAGCAGCTAGTACCCGTTCCATAGCTGGGAGACACTGGAGCTCCCCTTGCAGGTTAAGAAAAGCCCAAACAAATGTTAAGAAATGGGAATTAAACTCTTTCCATTCGTGCCTAGTTATAATGAATGATGTCTGGGGATTCCTTTGACAAGGAAATTTAAAAATCTACATTTCATGATTTAGTGAAAAGAATACTAATTTTCAGTCAAGTTAAGGAGGACTCACTGCTGGGCGGGGGGCGGGGCTGACTCTGGGTCTTACTCACACCTCCAGCTAGCTGTGTGACCTTGAACAATTTGCTTAAGTTGTCTGTGGTTCATTGGTAGTGTGTTCTTTCTGGAGAATATTGTGAGGATGCAGGTGAAAGGACCAGGGAATCACCCACAGCTCCCCACTTTCCAATGCTGACCTTTTAGGGTAGGGACCCTGGGGTCCCTAAGGCAGTAGTTCTAAAACTTTATGGTACGAAAAATCAGTAGGACACATTTCCTTGCTCTGATGCAGTATATCAACAGTGAGACTATAGGCCGGAGTCCTCAGATCTCACTTCTAAGAACACTGACCAAGGTCTTTTTAACATTACCCCTGTGGGGGCCAAAATTATGCTGGATTTATAGCTCTCTGGATTAAACACATGAACCTACACTTTCTCCTTTGCTAGTCTATTTATTTGCACTGGTCAGGGTGCCCAGCAGTCCCGGCTTGCTTCATTCCTGAGTGTTTCTTGTGACATTTGGGTGCACACAGAGTGTACTTACAGTTGCACAGCAACCTCCCTGTCTGGCCAGATTTATGCCACCATCAGCTGCTTCCAAAAACCTAAATCATGCCTTCAACAATCTGTGCAGAGGGGACCTTGAGGCAAAAAAAAAAAAAAAAGTTAAGTGGGAAGTGGCATCATTCCATGGCAATTAAAGTCCTTTGAAATGACTTTCACTTCTAAATATTTTGAAGAAATATTATTACCCACCCCAATGCTTGTGAAGTTTTGCTGATATTACTATTTAGGAAATACACATATACATGGTAGTGGAAGCCTGGCATTGTGGAGAACATCAAATTCCACAAGCAGAACTTGTGTTTCATTTTAGCCAAACATGTTTGTTATTGTTTTTTATTTGCTTAACAAAAACAGCCAAGAAATTAACGCATTCAACCTCAGTTACGTATCCTTTCTTCCATTTTTCCCTAGCTGATGGGAATTAAAATAAGCAGAGGCTGATCTACTACATGCATGAGAAGATGAGGAAGAGGAAGAGGGCAGGAGAGGAGAAAGCCAGGGCCTGGGTTCCTTCTTATAACAGCAGTACAGCACACAGGGAGTGTCTATGTGTGCAGGTGCACACGGCTACAGATCCTACTGACATTTCCAGACCTTTGTCTTCACTACAGATTAAATCAATGCATCAAAGCCAGCACACAGACTGCAAAACTATGCAAAACGCTGGCTGTGGATGCAGTCGCTCCAACCACTCAATGTCAACTATTGAACAATTCACTAAAATTGTTGATTGTTCCTAAATTAACTGTGTCTGATCTATTGTTGGTCAGCTGCTATATGGTGATAATTTCTAGGGCTATTATCAGTGTCTTATGACAAAGCGATGTGGTGGTCATAACAATGAAAAAATAAGCCCTTAGACTCATATAAGTCACACGCATATGCGGCCCTTCTCATAATAAGTAAGAACTTCTCTTCCTCTCTCTTTCTCCCTCTTCCCTCACTCTCACAGTCATGTAAAAATTCTTCTTATTCCAAAACACTAATCAACATCACTGAGTTGTGTTTTGTTCAGCCCCAGTGTCTTCTCATAACCCTTCCTGACATATCCCAAAGCAATCACTTGTTGCTGCAGGGGAAAGACACAGCATGAAAAAGAATATCAAATGAGGCCTGTGAAAGCTCTAAAATTTTCAGATGTGACTGAACCGAGCCATCTACATATCTTTGTCAAGTGCAGAGCTCCCCCTAATGACCACCTCATGAGGGGAAAACAATTAGAGCCATAAGCTTTAGATTGCCCTACATTTCCCTTTACAGATAACAAACAAGCCACTTGTCCGGTGCTAATCATGCTTAAGATAATAATGCTCTCCTTGTACCCTCACACCTGCCACCCATAATTTTCTCTGCCACCTCTGGTAGGCTCCATGTCGGAATACCACTTGTCAAAGTCACCTGCGCGGGGTCCCCAGGTCCCCCACCGAGACCCAGCTTGTGGTACTGTGAGACCTTTCACTCTGAAGCTGGCAGAGGTGGCATCACCTCATCATAAGTGTCAGGCTGTCACAATGGACTCTTGGGACCCATTTAAAAAATTATATTTTTGGTGCTGAATTAAAAGACTGCATTTCTGAAGGCCAGCTGTTGGCTGATTCCAGTGCCAAGAAGACACTCTTGGAGGTGCATTCTTGTTTCTTTACATCACTGCTAATCCTCTTGCTGGAAACCAGCCAGGAAACCTCACTGGGGACT